GAAAAGAACAACAACAGGAAAAAACAACAACAACAGAAGGAAAAACAACATTCAAAGGAAAAACAAACAACAGGAAAAAAACAATGCAACATTGCAACAATACGCGCGATCAACCAGCCGCCGCGTCACTCACCATTAGAGGTCGACCTCTGAGACAATGACACCCTGCGTAGTCCTCTCACTAGAGAGAGAATTGACAGTTTCCAACAATGGCGCTCCTACCTGTGAGGGGGGAGGGGAGATGTAAGGTAACAGCACCACTAGTAATAACAGCACCAGCAGCAGTCACAGCATTAGTTGAGCGGTGTGGCAATATGGTATTAGTAAAGAGTAACAGTTGAGAGAGAGAGAAAGAGAGAGCGCGCTACCCACGAGAGAGCAGGGTACAGTAGGGTAGGTCTAGGTGCCCGCTGGTCAACTGCCTGCTGACACACACACACACACACACACACACACACACACAGCACGTTCCAGCACTCTGTTAAGAAGTCTAATGAGGAGGAGGAACAACTCTCTGTGAAGTATTACCTGGAGTAACTTGTTACGCCTGGGGTCACACTGCTCAGAGGATATCAGGGTTTGCAGGTGAAAAGGTGGCTCTTTCTTATTATAAGGCTGATGGAGATATTGTAAGGTTGTTTCACTTACATCGCGTCCTTTCCGGTGTACCTGACTGACTGACTGAGTGAGAGGATATGCGCCCCTAATGTCTTGCCCAGGGATCGCAAGAAAGTGCACCACATGTGTAGTTTGGGGGGTAGAAAAGTGCACCACGTGTAGTTATCGAAGGTGCACTACATAAATGGAAGGTGCACACGTAAGGTGTTAGACGCAGGGAAGACCATATCTTATCACACCCGCTGGTTTCTTCCTGTAGTACATTAGGCTTGAAACCGAGATCCATTTAGAGAAGGCGGAGGGATGATGGGGGGTTGGGTGGAAGGTGTAGGAGGTTGGGGTGTGTAGGTGAGGCTGTGCACAGACACTCCCACCATGACCCTTAACGGTATTAGCTACTCCCTCCCTTAGCTCCGCCCACTAAATGTTACCAGATCCTTCCTACCAATAAATCACCATTGCTTTCATAAATGTATTGTAAATAACGTTAATATAAGATGGATATAATTTAATTTGATGTTAGATTATCCAAAGGTTTTAATGATACAGGTGTGGATGAAGTGAGAGTTAACGAGTTAAGTGAGGGTATTAGGGTGGTTTAGTGTGGTGGGTGGTAGGGAGTGGTGTTATCAAGTAGGTGAGGCCAAGGAGAGTGGCTGGAGGAGGTGGGTGTAATGGGCTCTAAGCGTCCAAGGTAGACGCATAAATTATTACGTTTCAATAAACTCTCCTCTCACCTGTTTATATTTGTGTTTAATCATACACACAGACGTTAATGTAAACACTAGTTATTAACATTTATATCCCGCCTCTTGGATCTTTTTATTACTTCTACGTTGAGTTACTTTAGGTTAATGTAGTAACCACCTTAACCATCTACCATAGACACCCCTAACCACCTGACACAATCTCCACTCCACCTCCTCTCCTCCAGGACGTAGTGGTACCTGTATTGAGGGAGGTAGGTGGGGGGAGAGCTAGTGGTGGCTTACGTCAAGGTCAAATTCCTCCACAGTGAATATTGTCAATCTGGTAGGAGTGACCTGGATGGTTTGAGGTAATCAAGGTATATAATGAGTCATTAAAGGTTTTAGTATATAGTGCTTAAAATGACTTGATGTCTCCTGAGCAATAAAACAATAAATTTACACAATAATATTTTCCTAGTGGTTAATACAAGTAATCATCCTTATCTCGTGAAATATACCTGATATTTAGCCTCATTAATCATGATTACCTGAACAGCTGAGAACATGTATTATAATATCACTTAAGAGTCTGCCTATGTATGTATGTATGTGCAAAACCTGCGGTTAAACTGACACAAAATTACAACTAACTAAGAATTTACGTATTTTTTCCGTTTTCTGTTTCTCGAGGGTTTGTTCCGAGTAGTAGATCACACCACTTGAGCCTCTCTATGTTGTATTTGGCTTAGTAGGATTGAGTTAATTAGCTTTGGCTTGGTTTACTTAGATGGGATTAATTTACGTTGGGTCAAGTTAGGTTAGGTTAGGTTTGTTATTTGGCACACACAGCCAGTTTATCAGCAACAGGTATCACACAACAGGTATCATACAACGGTATCATACAACAGATATCATGCAGTATCACAACGGTTATCATGCAACAGATATCATACAACATACTACTGATCTGTAGACATCCAGACTCACCATTATTCATACACCTGTCAGCAACAAAACACAAGACTCACCGACCTCCACAAATACCTGTCAGAGCCTTAAGTATGTTATTAAAGTATTGGAAAACAAAGCCTCCCAGTGACCAATATCAGAGGTAGTGTAGGTTAGGTTAGGTGTAGTAAGAGTATGGTAATCTTGAGTTGGTTAAGCATTTGGTATGATTAGATGATGTTGGTGGTGTGGTTATAATGTAGGTTGGTAGGTTAGTATGTGTATGGTGGTATGGTGTATGGTTAGAGGTAATTATGGTGGTATAAACAGGTGAAAGTTATGATATGTTTTAATATAATGGATTTTTTTAGTCTGAACTGGATTTAAAGTACAGTGATCTCTTCTAATACGATAAAATAGTTGAATTTTTTTATAGGAAAATTCCGATTCTCGGTGTTAAGATCAGGGAACCGTGTGTGTGTGTGTGTGTGTGTGTGTGTGTGTGTGTGTGTGTGTGGAGAGATAGAGTAAACTCATTAACGTACTATCAATTCACATAAATCTTTCTTCACCTGTCAGGGTCTGGTTAATTTGGCGACAGGTAGGTAAGTAGGTAGGTCAATTTGGTGCTTGGTGGTCAAGACACTCGTATATTACTGTTAAAAAGGTCAGAGGTCATCCATATTTTCAGAAGCCTACGAAGGGTTAGTTAAGGAATAGTCCAATCACTATTTTTTTTAACCTATCATTAACTAAACTATGATAGTTACTGTTTATATACCAGCTTTAAATCATCCGGTGAAAACAACGACTTACCCCCCTCAAAATGGATGTTTGTTATCTTGGGTCAATGGGTCATTTACATTAACACTCAGTCGACCTCACCATCCTTAACATCTATTGACAGTTCATATCTCTTACCCTCTTACATTATTTGATTTATGCTGGTCCTATACATGAGTCGTTGTCAGGTAACTTGCATACGGGGTTTTAAGATGTGACCTTGACCTTTGGCTTTAGGGTCAAGGTCATTAACAGTGTTTTCTAAGGTCACTAAGTATTGTATTCACGAAACAATCTCTCTCTCTCTCTCTCTCTTATACACATTTTCCAGGACATGTTAAAATATATGTCCAAATAGTCGACTCCTTATTGATAGTTCCCACAAAACTGGAAAGGTAATTGTCCACAGGAGCTTATTCCAGTCTCAAAGGAAAATGTAAAAAATGGCGGAGGAGGAAGAGAGGGGAGTAGTACCAGGAAAATAAAAAGAAAAAGAAAATGGCATCCCTTTCTTTCACACACTACTGGATAGGGTAGAAGGTGGACTTGGGGGAGATTGGTGTAGAAAGTTGGGAGAGAGAGAGAGAGAGAGAGAGAGTTTTGGTACCTGGAGTGTGATGGCTCTGGTACTGAGTCTTGGCTGGGTGGTGGAGTCCATGGTATAAGGTGTTTGGTTGTGGGGGGGGACAGTGATGTATAGTGTTATCTGCCCATATGTCACAGTAGGGTCTCTCTCTCTCTCTCATATACAGTAAGGTCTCTTTGGACAGTCGGAGTCTCCTTGTTTTGAGTCGTGATTGGCTCGAAGGTTAGGTCAGAATGGTCAAGTATATTCACACAGACTCAGGTTGAATGTTTGGGAAGAAGGATTGCGAGAGAGAGAGAGAGAGAGAGAGAGAGAGAGAGAGAGAGATTCTGTGATCATATGCCCATCGTGTATGTAACCCACACAGCCTTAAACGCACCAAGGGGGATATCGTAAGTCTCTCTCCCAACACTGTCGATGTCAGTTGTATGGCGCTGGTGCGATATTCTAGAGAAAAAAAAAGACTACTAAAATAGCCAGTTTCCTTACAGCAAGACGTTGGTTCAGAGCCCCTCCGTGCCCTCCCCCTGCACTTCCTGCCCTCCCCCTGCCCCCATTCTTTGAGTTCCGCTTAGCACCCATCAAAATTTATGGGGTGAATATAGTGAGTTTGCTCTTTGCGTTTGTGGTATCGGAAACCAATTTGATCTCGGGGTAGGGATCGTAACGAGCTTGTTTTGGAAGTCATAAAACAGTCTAGCCAAGTCCAGGAATCCACAGAATCGTCCTGAATAGGGTGAGGGCAAGAGGGTAGATGGGTGAGAGATAACGGAGGGTGAGGTGTAGGGAGTTAAGTACGGCTCGCTGGCTTCACCCGTGTCGACGAACGCTGGAAAGAATTTCACGCCTGACAGCTTTTGAAATGGGTCTTTTATATGTCATTTAGGAGATTAATGAGTGTCGTTCCAGGAGGATTGCGGCAGCTGGCCGGCAACAGCTGCTGCTATCCTTCATCACTGATGAAACTGTGGCCTCGCTCTTGTTAGTGCTGTATACACACACTGTTGTGTCCACAGACGACGAGAAAATGCTTCACACAGTGTCCTAATTTATAACTAGTTTAATGCTCTAAGTATTAACAGTGGCATTAATTTGAGCTCAACAAGTAAAATTTGTGCCAAAAATTGGGTCGAGCTGAATTTTCACGTGAAATTCTTTTCTTTTGCGTTTGTTTATCATTATCCGCCCCACACTCACCACCTGGCCCGGCTCCTCTACCTTCCCTCCATACCTCTATCCTTGGGCTTAATTCCAGTAAACACACCATGTGAATTTTTTCCTTTCATAGGAAAATATCAGTAAAGGCCCTGGATGGTGGTGCTTGAGAAAACAATGATTGCATAACATATTATTTTTCAATATTGTTTTCTTTGCAGGTAAGGACGCGTCAAATGCTCGTGGGAAGGAAGCTGAGGTGGCAGTGGGAGGTAAGTCTCACTCACATTCTCTGGCTGTTGCCTTTGTTGCCTCCCCATGTCAACATTTTTCTCGTAATTAAAAAACATGTTATACCCATTCTCGTGGTGAGTTTGTTTACCGTGTGTTTGTGAGCGTTACTGTGGGGTGTTTGGTGTCTGTCACGTCAACAGTGATGTCTCTGAGGTGTCATGTTCAGTGGTTGATGTAGGGCGATTATGTGTGACTGTTTTACAGGCTATTGTCAGTGTTAGTCTGAGGTGTTTCTCTAAAGTAAACATCGGGGAGAAATGAATTTTGTTTTTTGTTGTTAAAGGGACAGCATAGCCTGGCTTTTGTTTCAGCATCACTCTCCACTTTGTGTCAACATATGAGGGGTCTTGCTGGTCGGGTTCACATGAAGTAATTTTACTTTGATATCGCCCCGATTCTCTTGAACAGATTTCTTCCTGATGAGGAAAACTTCCTCCCAGAATCTCAATGTGACTTAAGACCATCACGTGACACCATTGACATGATCTTTGTTGCCTGCCATATAAGGAAAAGTGCAGAGAACAGCATTGTGACCTAACCAAGGCCTTTGACTTGGTCAACAGGGAAGCCCTCTGGTGGACCCTCAGCTGTTTTGGTTGCCCACCAAAATTCATTGCCATTGTGACGCACTCCGCGGTGGTATGAATGGCTATGTCCTGGAAATTGGCACCCAGTCTGAGTTCTTCCCCGTCCAAACAGGGGTAAAATAAGGATGTGTACTGGCACCAGCTCTCTTTTCCATTTTCTTGGCTGCCTTCCTTATTCGTGGCAGTGCCAAATTAGCCGGCGGGGTGGACATCCAGTACCGGATGAAAGGGTCTTTTCAACATAAGACAACTCCAGGGAGGAACAAAGCTGGCGGCATCTATCATTACTGAACTTCAGTATGCAGACGACCTCACCCTTGTCACTCACACTGAACGCGACCTACAGGAGATCCTGAACACCTACGCAGATCGTATGCACACTTCGACCTTGAGGTGAATGTAAGTAAGACTCGGATTCTCTTTCAGGCTGCCCCTGGTTCAGCCACACTTCCACCATCCATCCAGCTTTATGGTACTACCCTCTCTAATGTTACCCACTTTCAGTATCTATACTCCCACCTGTCCACCACTGTGGATATCGATGAAGAGATTCAACATCGTATGAGATGTGTACAGTATCTCGAGCCTTTGGCAGAGTCCGTACCCATGACTTAAGCTGTAGGGAGCTGAAATTATCTGCATTGTTGCACGTATATCGAGTAGTGGCCCTCCCCACCCTGCTATAAGGCAGCGAGACATGGGTCACATGCAGGAGGCACCTCAAGGCACTTGAAAACTTTCACCAACGTAGTTTACGTTCCAACCTCTGAGTTCACTGGGAAGACAAGAGAACAAATGCCAGAACAGTATTCTCGCTGACGCCAACTGTAGGAGGATCGAGGCTTCCATTATCCATGAACAACTACGTTGGATTGGCCATATTACCCGCATGAACGGCAGTAGACTGCTAAAAACAGCTACTTTACAGTCGCCTAATGAATAGTAAATGTAACGCTGGCAGGCAACTGAAAAGGTATAAGGATAGTCTTAAGACAAACTTGAAAAAATGACAAATCGACCCCTTCACCTGGGAGACGATTGCTCCACACTGTAACACTTGGAGGAGCACTACACGAAAGGGTGTCAATACTTTTGAGTTAGCCTGATTGCAAACCGAGACAGACAAGCGCCAACACCAGAAAGACACTGCTGCTTCCACTCCGGCACTAGATGTAGCCTCCCACATGTGCAACACCTATGAACGATCCTGCCGGTCTCGTATCAGCCTCTCTAGTCACCTCAGTGTTTACCAACGAAGGTGACATCCTTAATAGCTAATATCATTTTATCATAGCTGGATGATCGTCATACTCGATTCCGAGTGACAACAAGTAGTAGTAGGTGTTAGTGTTGGGTAGTAGTGTTGATTAATGGTTGTGTCAGCTGGTGTGTTTGTGTCTGGTGGTGAGTTAGTGTAAAACAGTATTTCCACAGTAAGGTGGCCCATAAGCCACACTCTTCTATACTAATAGCTGATTGGTCTATAGAAAATCAAACTAAATATGTATACAATTGGTGGGCAGACTTGTTATTATCTAAAATAATGTTAAATATATGAACTATCAAAATGCAATTGATTTCAAGGCATTAGCACTTCAGAGAAGATTTTAGAAAATTTTAAATATTTATCTTAAAAGGTCAATATACAGTAAATACGCGATTATACATGCACGGTGGGGGTAAGATGCTTCGGGGAACCAATCGGCTGTTTGTAGCTATAGACAAGTGGCGTGGCTTATGGGCCAGGTTAGTGTGGAAAGGATATACAGGTTGTGTGCTAGTCTAGTGTGTTTGTTAGTATACTAGTGTGTTTGTTTTTGTACCAGTGTGTTAGTGTACATACCAGTGTAAAGTAAACTAATGACCTAACAATCTTGTTGTTGATGTTGTAACAGTGCCATGATTTTAGAGTAAATTATATCTTGTTTTAGGGAAAATATGTATGAAAATTCAATTAGGAAACAAAAGACCTGCTCAAGTGTTCCTACTCAAACTGACTAATGGCAGTGTGAGTGCCTTAGGCCTGAACCAATAAGGAGAACCTGTGAGACGTGATGTCTTGAACACGTGGCATCCCATAGGAGGTCTTTCTTTTAAGAGGAGAAGACAGTCAGTCTAGATTGGTGTGTGTGTGTGTGTCAGGGAACATGGCGAGTGGAATAACAATAATTAGTAAGTGCACTAAAGGTTTTATCTGTTTTACGAAATGAATTGCGATTCATGTAAGCCCATTTAATTAGCTAAGAGTTTAGGCTATTGTTTTGAAAGTGTAATTGTCCATTCTGAATAATGGCGTTAATAAACGAAGAACCATTATGATTAGTGTTCAATTCCCGTCCCCTTGTGTATGGAGTAGAGTATTTCTCATAAGTGTCTTGGTAAACAGTGATGCAGTGACCCCATGAGTAACAACATAACTGTCACATATTTCCCTTAGTATATAATTATGTTAATGCATGATTTAATTACTCCCACAAATATCATTCTCCACCTCTCCCCTCCCATCGGTTACCAGCCCGACCCTCTGGTAGGGGGAGTGACCACAGGCAAACCCCCACCTCCCTCAACCACAAGCCTGCTTCCGCCTCCCTCTCTCCCCTCCTTCACCTACAGAAAGAAAGAGTAACAGTAAGAAAAGAGAATTAGAGAACAAAGAAAGAGTAAAAGTAAAGAAATAGAAGTAAATAAAATAAAGACAATAACGTTTATTACAACTTTCACAGGAGAGCATCTGAGGAAGCCGTTCACAGACATCAACCCCTTCAAGAAAATCCCGGTGGTGCAGGATGGCGACATTGTGTTACTGGAGAGGTGAGTGTATCTTATTACCAGCACCCATGCCTCCACCCTCGCCTCTACCTCTTTCTTCACCCCTGTCTCCACCCTGCCTACCACCCACTACACTCCACCCCTGCCTACCACCCACTACACTCCACCCTGCCTACCACCCACTACACTCCACCCCTGCCTACCACCCACTACACTCCACCCCTGCCTACCACCCACTACACTCCACCCCCTGCCTACCACCCCACCACACTCCACCCCTGCCTACCACCCACTACACTCCACCCCTACCACCCACTACACCCACCCCTGCCTACCACCCACTACACTCCACCCCTGCCTACCACCCACTACACTCCACCCCTGCCTACCACCCACTACACTCCACCCCTGCCTACCACCCACTACACTCCACCCTGCCTACCACCCACTACACTCCACCCCTGCCTACCACCCACTACACTCCACCCCTGCCTACCACCCACTTCACTCCACCCCTGCCTACCACCCACTACACTCCACCCCTGCCAACACTTACTAAATGATTTATATCTTATTTACTGTACTGTGGGTTAATCTGGGAATACCACGTCGTGTACAGTACTAGAAATTTTTTCAATTATTTAGTTATCAGTGCTGCCACCACCCAGATTTTTAATAAGAACACAACACCAACAATATGCCCTCTTAATTATCATGTTAGAGGGCCTCAGAGGTAAGGGCACGTGCATTCTTAAGTGTATTTACAGAGATGGCAATTATTAGAAGGAATGAAGGGTGATGCACATAATACACTTAGTAATTATTATTATATTAAAGGCAAATATTAATGATACTATATGAAAAATTTAACCATCAATCACAACTACTTAGTAGTCTAGTATATTAAAACTATAACCATGCAAGAAATGCGCACATCCTTGGTAGTTCTGCCCATTCTGCCTACAAATGTAGGCAATTGTACATACCGATAAATGAGGTCTTTTAGAAATTGCCAGAAAGCTGAGTATCAGATCTTTTACCCTTTCAGGTGCTCATAGGGTGTGACACAACATTTTATTTTGCCAACCACACCAAGCAGTCTGCCTGGAAAGTTCTTCAGAATCTTCGTGGGTTGCCGAGAGTCATTGGCAATGAAAATTTGTCTGAGGAAGTTTTAACCATTTCAAAAAAGTTTGTAAAATATATCGTGTGGATACCAAGTCAGTAGACAAAGCAAGGCACACGATGCCCTCATGCTTGTTCATTACCAAACATTGGTGTGGAAACAGAAACACAGAGTCCCTTCCTGCACTAATTGACCTGGGTGGGAAACTTTCTGACCAAGGTTTTTAACTCATACAAATGTATTGATATCTTGTTTCTGCAAGAAGTGCAGAATACTAAGTGCAAATGTAGAAAATCTGGACAAATGTGTACAGTCTTGTGTGTCTGCAAGCAGAAGTAGAACATGTGCATAAATTGCAGTTGAATACTTTAAACAAATTTAGATAGTCTTTCCAACAAACATGAATGACTAAAACAGTGTTAAACAGTTTTCTGATGAAAAAGTAATGCTGTACCCTGTACTCTAAAGCTTAATTTATATTTACGTTCTGTAATTTGTTTTGCTGTAATTATAAATTTGCATAGAAAATAATTTTTATATTATACTAAATTTTATGTTTGGTTCTTTAAACTGCTCAATTATATTTTTGAGCATTTTGTATCTGTATTAAGACAAAGTTTTTAATTATATGATAAAAATGATCCTTCAAGCATTCAGATTTGTTTATAAACTGGTAAACATGGCTGAAATAAAATCTAAAGTCAATGAAAATACATTACCTAGCTTTAATAACTGGCCATTTTGAACAGCAAATTAATCTAGAGATGCCTGTTAATGTGTTTGTTAACTTCAATTTCTTAGCTGGAAAAGCAAACACAGTACATGGCTTATGTTTACTATGTTTAAAGTTTGAAAACAGTTTTTATATGGTAATAATTTATACCAAAAAACCCTCCAAACCCATTGAATTTGTCACACTCAAATTATATAAAAACATCCAAGATACTGCTTCTAACAAAAAATGATTCTTACTGATGCAGTTTCCAAAATCCAGTCTTGTCTATTAGGGACGATAGTTTAACCTTAACGGACGATGATTAAACTCTGTAGGGACGATGATTAAACTGTAGGGGCGAAGTACCTGTGTTTACTTAGGTGTAGTGATCGCCCCTCAGCTGGGTGTAGACATGTGTACTGACCGCCGTATATATCCGTCCAGCTGTGCGGGTTTGCGGTTCATCGCCAGCAAGTACGATGCGTCAGGAGTGTGGTATCCTGGGAAGGTGGAGGTGCGGAGCAAAGTGGACGAGTACTTGGACTGGCAGCACCTCAACACACGGGCACATGGCATGGGCTACTTCAGGAACAAGGTAAGTAGGCGAGACTACACAAGGCATGGGCTACTTCAGGAACAATGTAAGTAGGCGAGACTACACAAGGCATGGGCTACTTCAGGAACAAGGTAACTAGGCTATACTACATAAGGCATGGGCTGTTTTAGGAAAAAGGTAACTAGGCTAGACTACACAAGGCATGGGCTGTTTTAGGAACAAGGTAACTAGGCTAGACTACACAAGGCATGGGCTGCTTTAGGAACAAGGTAACTAGGCTAGACTACACAAGGCATGGGCTACTTCAGGAACAATGTAACTAGGCTATACTACATAAGGCATGGGCGATTTCAGGAACAAGGTAACTAGGCTAGACTACACAAGGCATGGGCTGCTTTAGGAACAAGGTAACTAGGCTAGACTACACAAGGCATGGGCTACATCATGAACAATGTAACTAGGCTATACTACATAAGGCATGGGCTGTTTCAGGAACAAGGTAACTAGGCTAGACTACACAAGGCATGGGCTACTTCAGGAACAAGGTAACTAGGCTAGACTACACAAGGCATGGGCTACTTCAGGAACAAGGTAACTAGGCTAGACTACACAAGGCATGGGCTACTTCAAGAACAAGGTAACTAGGCTAGACTACACAAGGCATGGGCTACTTCAGGAACAAGGTAACTAGGCTAGACTACACAAGGCATGGGCTACTTCAGGAACAAGGTAACTAGGCTATATTCATTAACAACTACACAAACATAACCACTGACACATACAAGGGTTATCCATTTTCTACCTTGAACCAGTTTCCTTAAAGCTGGTTTCAGCCATCATGTCGACTCTAGCCATTCTACAGTACGTCAAAACCCATTCTGTCTTCTTGTGGCCGAGTTTTGACCTCAACACTATTCAGATAGATAAACTGACAGGAATTTACTGTATTGTAATTCTCATGTTTTGTTCCAAGTTACTGGCCACTCGAGTTTCTTACTGTGGAATTTCAGTAATTATAGCTCCAATGATACAATTAAAAATATTGAAAATACAATTAACTTTGACTCCAAGTGTGGCTTTAAGAACGAAATACTGCATCCTGTTCCATATGTTGTTGTTTTTTTAATGAATGGTTCCTTCGGCCAGGTCCTGATGCCCTCGCTCAAGAAGTGTGAGCCGGATATGGCAGTAGTGAGGGAACATGAGAAAGAGTTACAGCGTGTAGAGCGACAGTTTGCCAGGTACTTTCTGGGCCCCACACCTTTCATCACTGGCGACCAGGTAACCATTGGTGACCTGCTGGCCGCCTGTGAGTTCGAGCAGCCCCTGGCTGGGGGTTACAACTTGTCTCCTCCCATCAGGGAATTCATCACCAGGGTTAAGGAGAAAGTGGGACCTGACTACGATGAAGTCCACACCTATATGAGACAGCTGGCCAAGAAATGTCTTGCCTGATATATCAAATGATAAAAGTCCATAGTACTTGTAGAATTAATTAATTTTATATTAACTGTTGCATTTTCAGAATTAATAAAAAAAAATTAGAACAAATCTGTGTTAATAATGCCTTCTAATATATTCTTCATTTTAGGTTAATAATTTACAGTATTCATGGAAGAAGGTAATTAATAAAAAAAATTGCACTTGTTGAATTAACACCTTTGATTAACCCGGGAGATGCGAGACAGGAAACCAGATGTCAGCGTTTACATGGATAGATTACGCCTCACTGACCATATTTGTTTATCTTCCTTATGACTTATCTTTGAGCCAAGAATATTGTTTAAATGATAACAGACACCGTACACTGGTACTACACCAAACATCTACACTGGGACAGATGGCAGAAAGCCATCCCTACAGGACTTCAACATCATGTTAAAAAATGTTGACAACAACTGGTGAAGATAAACCTCACCAAATTCAAAGAGCAACAACCACACGAGTGATTGTTGTGCACAGTTCAGTAGAAGTGGTGGAAATTGTAAGATTGGCAGTACAAACCACAACTGGAATCGGATATCATTATGTTCTACATCAGTGGTCTCCAACCTTTTGTACTGTAGACTCTGGACCACATTTATCATGGCAAATATAGTGGAGGGCGCCATAACTTTGGATCTACATTAAAAAACCTCATATATAAGGTGTCCCAGAAAAATGTCCCTACCTGCTCCCTGAGACGCTTAGTTGGAGGGAGGCAGGGACATTTTTCTTGGACACTATATACTGTGCAGTTATTTTCAGTTTTACACATCTAATTGTTACCAGTTACATGCTTTTTACTTTTACGCTTGGACAGGTCGTGTGTATTTACCCCAGTGAGAAGGCTGGCTCTTTCTCTGGGCCCGGTCTGGGGTAAATGCACATGTTTTGTACACGACAGACTCGGAACAATCCCCCCCCCCCCTCTCTTTCAAACTATAAAGTTGTATCAAGTTGTTAAACATTTTCCTTAATTTCACTCTTACAAAGAATCCCAAATAATTCAAAATTTTCTCATACAGGAAACCCTCGCGGGCTCCATGACATGATTCCGTAGGTGCTGAACTACAGGTTGGGGACAACTGCTGTACATCTATTGCATTCCTAACTAAGGAGCACTGGGTGTTGAATCTGTCATAATAGACGCAGAGAACATTGCCCCGATGAGACACTGTCCTATTGCAGATACACACATTTCCTGGGGGCGACACAACAGTATCATTTTTTGGTCAAGGAAAGAAGCCTCTGTATGACGGATAACAGATGATACTCAGCAACTATTAGAAACTCAAGGTAGTAACATCCCAGTCAAACTAATAACGCTGAGAGATGGCAATAATGTACCTCTTAGCTACACTTTACTTACACTTCCTACTAGGAGCTTATAGAGACTGGCTCTAACTGCAGTTGAAGATAGTGATGGGTCTGAAGACTACTTGATAAATGGTGCTAATGATGTATACATGCAAACTAACAGGTGCATTTTTAATTGCCCATTGGCTGGGTGGTTGGACAGACACCGGTGAACTCGAAACGCAACAACTCCTCGTAGCGGGTTCTGGGTGATATGAAACCCAAAATCTCTTCTCAGTGAAGAGGTGCACACAGAAGCTTTGAATAAATAAGTGGGACCAGTAATATTAACAGAACACTGAATAATATTGTTTAGCCCACAGTTCTCAGATGCACATATGTTATAGAATTGTACAGGTACATATATATTTCTTAACATATAACAAAGTTAAATAGGGTTTGTGTTTAGTGAAACCTTACATAAAACTTATTTAATTACCGTACATCACAAATACTAAAGCCTTAACATATGATACAATACTTCACTTAAATTACACAAATGTAGAACCTAAATGCACGAATACAATGACTTCAAATGGTAACAGGAAGAATAAACAGACCTACCACCTGGAGCAAGGCGTGGTTAAGGCTTACGCCAAGTATGCCGTGGCGTAGCCCCTCCCCCTCCGGATTTGGGGTCCTCGCCCTCAATCATGGCAATCAGGGTCTGGTTAAAGAGCTCTCTCACCAATGGGTAGGATTAAGAACTGTACGAGGTCATGCCTCTCAGACAAAAAGTGAAGCAATATATTGTCTCTACAGTTTGACCCCTCACGATCATTAAATTTCAAAGAAGTGAATAACTTTCCAACAATAAAGTCAAGGAAGAAAATTTTGGTGTCAATGTTTGAGTTCTTTATCTTTGTGCTTCTTTTGTGAAATATTTGCTACAATGAATAAAGCCATTATTAAATGCATTAAGTGAAGTAAATTTTGTCATCTCGTGCTAAACTAGAAATATTATATCGTAAGAAAATTTTCTTGTAAATGTACGAGTTCCATACCCATGTATTTCATTGTCAATATTATTCTAAACTAATAATTTATTTATATAAAATATTTGCTATCATGAATAAAGCTACAGTCTAATAATACTGTGTTCAAATTAAGTGTATTCATTATATTGTAGTGGACGTCACCCCTACAACTGCTTATCGCATTCCGACGTGCCGTCTCCTAGCAACCAAGCGAGAGCTGACGCCAGATGGTACGGTTGCTTAGCAACGAAACTAGTCACCGGCAACTTTCTGGGTTTTCCCAACATGATTCATAGAGGACTGGCGGCTGCTGCTGGGTATATAAGCTCTGTCTCTCCATTGAGATTCATTCTGCCCATCTTCCTGAACAAGCAACACCTCCTCCAGCAAGCTCCACGCTGTTAACATTCATTCAACCAGGAGGCCAGCAACAGGCAACATCTTCTCTAACGAAGCTCCTGCACATCTACCTCCTTCAACACGCTACTCACCGAACGTCTTCTACTGAGCAGCTCCTCACCACACGGCACCTCCAGCACCAGACTGTCTATCATATAACTTATATTATATAAGAAAACCACATTAGAGTTTCCATCCATCCTGAGTGCTAGACAACATCATATCTCGATACCCCTACAATATCATCTTGTGCAGAATTATAAATTATAAATAAATGCCTCTTGGAGATAAATTCCAATCGTATTTTAATTTACTAAGATCTAAAGAAATTATACAGTTGATAGTGAATACATGAGCCCTGCCCCCCCCCTAAAGCTCTTGGCATAAAGACCCCCCCCCTAATCTTAACCAGGCCCTGACCTGGAGGGGTATGCGCAGAGCACACGCATACATGCACAAAACACACACACACACACACATCACAAAGTGCCCCCAAACAGGAAGATAGCTCAGTACACAACTACAGTATTTACATTATTTATAGGATACCATAAGATTCGAAGTAACTCAATGATTTAGGGCTACAGATTGATTTTAATACACAGGGTCCGGAAGAGAAACACCAGCTGACGGTTATATATATATATATATAAATTACCCAAAATTTTTAAACCCAAATTAACCAAAACATTTTATGTACAAGCTTCACTTCTTAAAAATTACATCAGTGAGATGGTGTCCATTGTTATTTACACATTTTTGCAGTTGGGAGCGAAAATTCCCCATTACTCGATGTGCCATTTCGAGAGGTATTGCTGCCACTCCCTCCCTCATGTTGTTTCCGGTCAGTTCAGTTAAACTGCACGTGCGTTCAATGTCGCTTCCCCCACTCCAACGATTTCGAGCACAGCCCGTTTTTAAAAACCGTGAAGTTTCTCTGCCGGACCCTGTACTAATCAGTGGTCGATGTATTCACATACTGTACTTATCAATTTCCTTCCCTTTAAATATCCACACTTATTATTAATTATCTCTCAGTAGTCAGCATACAGTGCATTTCTATCAGTCTTTCCATTCTTTTCTTGAATGTCCTGTCTATCCCAAATCACGTCCATTTCGCTGTCATACTCGATATCACTTTATCCCTCAAATTCAAACATTAAATTCAGCTATTCATTCCTTGCCTAAACCACTTTCTTTCCTTTTTCTTTGGAACATCTACGAGTATGCACTTCACTTATTCATCCTTTTGTCAAATCTCATTTTAAATAACACATACTTGTACTCCATCAGTCAACAGCACTGCCACTCTGTTCTTCTTCCTTCAATGTTCACTTTATGGTCTACACTTGTTCCCATCAGCGTTTTTCTTCTCCCTCCCTTTAAAGCCAAGACTTCCAGGTTCCCATCATTCATAAATTTTTCAGTTGCTCCTTTATCATCCTCCTCATTACATCAACATAGATATTCAAACTCCTATGTTGATATCTATCTTTGGTAGTAAGAATATATAGGGTTGGGTTATTACTCTTCAGCAGCAATTTTCTCCAGAATCCAACGAATATACTTTGTTACTCGAGTGTATATCTGTGGAAGGTTATTGGGCTGGACGCATAATACACCCCTGGACACCACGCCATAGAGAGTGATTTTACCATCCACCATGCAGGCCAGAGGACCTCCAGAGTCCCCACGGCACACGGACGAACTCGAGGTCACTGCCCTGAAGCATGCATTGGACGACGAATAGTTCTTAGCCCCAGCCAGCAGCTGACACGTGCGGTCTACGACGATGGTGGGAGTGAAGTGCAACACTCGTGGGGATGGCCGGAAGGGACGCTGAAATTATATATTTTTTGTAATAAACCTTTACCTTATCAAATAACAAGAGTTTCGTCCAGCTGATCAAGTAAGTCATCAGAATGAAAGACTTCAGTAAGCCATGACGCCAAAGTTTATATGACGTCATCACTTCTGTTGATTCTTATACAGTAATTAGTCTAACGAGTATGTCTCAGCAACGTTCAATTAGCATGATTTATAGGTAGAACTGGTTACATAATGGGGATAAATCCATCAAAATAGCCAGGAAGCCACTATCACTGGGTTAATGTATCACTATTTTAGGAGAACATGACATGCAATGGTTCCCCAGTCTTACGTGATGTTTGTAGTTTATTCATTTCACCACACCCAAACACACGTGCAAATGGGCACACACACACACAAATAATGGAAGCCCCTCGAGATCGAGGATGGCCGGCCCAAGGGCCACCTCGGCGTGAACCCCTAGGCCCAGAGTGACGTTCCAGAACGCGCGCCTATTCCCGCCACGCTTTAAATGCCCAGGGAGGGTTATCAGGTTCCAGTGTGACTATTTGCCTCTCACACAACTCGCTTGGCTACAGGGAAGCTTCCTGAACATAATTACCTACTTTTGTTTCTTTCATTTTCATTGTTTGTCGATTTTATCATGTTGTAACAAAGTAATATTGCTAAAAGTAGTGTAGTATTACTGTAAAACAATGCTATGAGTAGGTTATGTGCTGTAGTGGATGTCTCCCCTACAAACTAACTGCGTAGCAGCCCACCACCTGCCATCACATTCCAATGTGCCGCCTTCCCTAGCAACCAAGCGTATCCGCATTCCAATGCCCGCCGTATCTTAGCAACGGAACTATTCACCGGCTACTTCTCGGGTTTTCCCACCATGACTCATAGCCGCTGCTGGGTGTATATAAGCTCTGTCTCTCCCTTGAGATTCAGTCAGACCATTCTTCTTGAACTAGCAACACCTCCTCCTCCGCCGCTGCCTGGCTGCCCCTCGCATCTCCTCGCCTGCCTGGCGGTCCTCGCTCCCGCCAGCGAGCATGTCCTTCTCTGAGCTTCCTCACCAACCAATTCTCATTCTGGCCCATCTTCCTGAACAAGCAACATCTCCTCCAGCAAGCTCCACGCTGTTAACATTTCATTCAACCAGGAGGCCAGCAACAGGCAACACCTTCTCTAACGAAGCTCCTGCACATCTACCTCCTTCAACACGATACTCACCGAACGTCTTCTACTGAGCTGCTCCCCACCACACGGCATCTCCAGCACCAGACTGTCTATCATATAACTTATATATATTATATAAGAAAACCACATTAGAGTTTCCTTCCATCCTGAGTGCTAGACAACATTAATATCTCGATACCCCTACAATGGTGACTCCCGGAGATTAGCACTCACACAGGATGGAGGAGACACTGATCACGCTCCCACTCTTCAAGCAGACACCGGCTCCTCTTCCTGCCTCACGCACCACATTCTGACGACCCCAGCACACCCGTCCTGCCTCAGCCGCCGACCCAGCAGTACCTGCCGTGAGGGAAGCACACAACATCCATCGCCTCCACACCCCCTCTTTTCTCCCTCAGGTACTCCCTGCTAATGTCCTGCACCCTGCTGCTGTCGTGGACCCAGCTGCTGTCACGAGCCCTAATCCGCTTCTGCTGACCCAGCCCCTGCTCCTGATCCAGGCCCACACACACCCCAGCAGGCGCATCTGACGACCCTGTACCTGTCGTGAGGGAAGAACATTCATCGCCTCCACACACCCTTTTTCTCCCTTCTCCCACAGATCGTGTGTATCTAGACAGTTGTATTTCAGCGATCGGCTCATCACGCCATCGCCGTTGTCTCACATGAGGCATGCACCGCCCGGTCTTCCTCACATGTGCTAAGCAACTCTACAAACAACAAGTCTCCTACACCGCCTGGAGGGGAGGGGGAGTATTGTAGTGGATGTCTCCCCTACAAACTAACTGCGTAGCAGCCCACCACCTGCCATCACATTCCAATGTGCCGCCTTCCCTAGCAACCAAGCGTATCCGCATTCCAATGCCCGCCGTATCTTAGCAACGGAACTATTCACCGGCTACTTCTCGGGTTTTCCCACCATGACTCATAGCGGCTGCTGCGGGGTATATAAGCTCTGTCTCTCCATTGAGATTCAGTCTGACCAATCTTCTTGAACAAGCAACACCTCCTCCTCTGCCGCTGCCTGGCGACCCTCGCCTCTCCTCGCCTGCCTGGCGGTCCTCGCTCCCGCCAGCGAGCATGTCCTTCTCTGAGCTTCCTCACCAACCAACTCTCATTCTGCCCATTTTCCTGAACAAGCAACATCTCCTCCAGCAAGCTCCACGCTGTTAACATTTCATTCAACCAGGAGGCCAGCAACAGGCAACACCTTCTCTAACGAAGCTCCTGCACATCTACCTCCTTCAACACGATACTCCCGAACGTCTTCTACTGAGCTGCTCCCCACCACACGGCATCTCCAGCACCAGACTGTCTATCATATAACTTATATATATTATACAAGAAAACCACATTAGAGTTTCCTTCCATCCTGAGTGCTAGACAACTTTAATATCTCGATACTTACAAAGTATTTTTTGTGAATTATTACTATTTTATGCATTACTTACCAAACACAAAGACAGCGAGGCAGACCGGCGACCCACTGTTGAGTGTTGCCAAGCACTTTTTTATGAAAAATTATGCAAATAAAATATTCTAAATGAATTATTTATAGCAAATATGTATTAAGATCAATAAATACATACATTATTGGCCACTTCGGACACAAAGGCGAGCTAAAAACAGCTGCTAAGTGCCGAGGGAGCACGAGCGTCAGCTGCCAAACCAACACTGTCTCCTAATCTCTCCCTCTCCTCCCTCCCTCTGCATGGCCAGAGAAGTTTCTCGAGGGTCAATATATAGTTTTTCTTACTTCTTTTTTATTGTTTTATCATTTTAAAAGGTTAAAATTATTTTTCGAAAAAATTTATTTTTCTCGGGTGGGGGGGTACTGCCACCAGCACCCTAACCAGGGGCTTAAGGGTTAAGGTGTAGAAGCTGTTGCCAACACAACAACCACACCCTAAGTTAACGAGCTGCATGACCCAGTGTCAAGGAATAGTGCGAGAAAACTGGACAACTCGCCAACTGCACTGGCTAACCATTACCCCGGAATATGATCCGCAAATCGATTAACATCCAGGTTCCCAATTACTGCTGGGTAGACAGAGGCAAATGGCGTAAAGAAACATGTCCATAGTTTCACCCTGCCCGGGATTTGAACTTGGGTCTGCTTGCTTGCGAGGCAACAATGCTGACTATTACACCACTGGTCGCCACACACACACACACATTGACACAGACACACACACACAGGCACACACATGCACACACACATATGCACGCACACACACACACACACACACACGTGAACGCACACAACTACTACTACTTTGCTGTCACTTGGAATTGAGTATGACCATCATCCAGCTATGATAAAATAATATGGGTTTTTAAAGATGTCACCTTCGTTGGTGAGCACTGAGGTGACTAGAGAGGTTGATACGGGACCGGCTGTGCCGGCCACAGATTTTACACTTGTGGAGGGCTACATCTAGTGCAGGAGGGGTGGCGCGAGCATCTTTCCGGCATTGGCGCTTGTCTGCCTTGGTACGTAGTCGTGCTAACTCGAGAGTATTGACACCTTCTCGTGCGGTTCTCCTCCAAGCGTTACAATGTGGAGTAATCGACACCCAGGTGAGGGGGTCGATTTGGCACTTTTTCAGGTTTGTCTTAAGACTATCCTTATACCTTTTAAGTTGCCCGCCGGCGTTACGTTTACTATTCATTAGGTGACTGTAAAGTAATTGCTTTGGCAGTCCATGCAGTTAACATGGCCAGTTCAACATTGTGGTTCACGGATAATGGTAGCCTCGATGCTTCTATAGTTGGTGTCAGCAAGAATACTGGCATGTGTTCTCTCGTCTTCCTAGCGAACTCAGAGGATGAACATAGACTACATTGGTGAAAGCTTTCAAGTGCCTTGAGGTGCCTCCTGTATGTGACCCATGTCTCACTGCCATATAGCAGGGTGGGGAGGACCACATGCAACTTTGTAGATAATCTCAGCTCCCTACAGCTGAAGACACATGTTTGGAGTTTGCCAAAGGCTTGAGATGCACATCTGATCCGATGCTGAATATCTTCATTGATGTCCGTGGTGTTGGACAGGTGGAAGCCGAGATACTGAAAGTGAGTAACATTAGAGAGGGTAGTACCATTAAGCTGGATGGATAGTGGAGGTGTGGCTGAAGCAGGGGCAGGCTGAAAGAGTATCTGAGTCTTACATACATTCACCTCAAGTCCGCAGTGTGCATACACATTTGCGTAGGTGTTCAGGTTCTTCTGTAAGTCACATTCAGTGTGAGTAACAAGGGTGAGGTTATCTGCACAGTGAAGTTTAGTAATGGAAACTTCCGACACCTTTGTTCCTTTTTGGAGTCGTCAAATGTTGAAATGACCCCTTTCCTCTGGTACTGGATGTCAACCTCGCCGGCTAAATTGGCACTGCCACGAGTAAGGAAGGCAGCCACGAAAATAGAAGAGAGTTGGTGCCAGTGCACATCCTTGTTTTATCTCAGTTAGAATGGGGTAGATCTCAGACCGGGTGCCACTGTGCAGGACATTGTCATTCATGCCATCACGGAGTTGCTTCACAATGTCGATGAATTTTGGTGGGCAGCCAAAACGCTATCCCCAGAGAAGATAAGGTTGTGCTCCTTGGCGACTTCAATGCCAGAGTTGGCAGAGATGCTAACATTTGGCAGGGAACCATAGGGAGAAATGGACTAGGCAAGTGTAAACCCAACGGCCTACTCCTCCTCAGCATGTGTGCCACACACAACCTCACTATCACCAATACCTTGTTATGTAGGCCAACAAGTTGAAGGGTTTGTGGCAACACCCACGATCCAAACACTGGCATCTCATTGACT